ACATGAGGTCACACAACTCGGGTAATATTCACGGTGAAAATTTGCATATTCGAGCGGTCGAACGGAAAAAATTATTTCTCGAAAACTAAAATATATTTTTACAAAAAAAAGTACACCACAATTACCAGAACATATTGGGCTACAAAATATGAAAGTAAGAGGGAAAATAATTTTGGGTGACTTGCCGCTGTTTGTTTGATGCATGCTGACATTAACTCTTAATAGTTTTCATTGCTCCTAACGTGTGGATTCTTAGTTGGTTAGCAGCAGCGCCCAGCTAGTATCTGAGAGGCACAGGTTTGAATCCTGTCGAAGTCTAATATTTTCAAGCTTCTTTTCTGCAATTGCTAAAATTAAGCTCACTAATGAGAATTATTGTTTTACTTGATTTTAGTGTAAGGTCATAAGGTTTGAAGAGCATGCTTTGGGTGTGGCATAGCAATTTGCGTTCGGACGATTCTACCTTTTTTGTTACCGGGGTATATTCGACTCTCTTTGCTTAATTTCAAGAATTCACTAACCTGCTTTGAAAGAGACATGTTGAGGATAAGCCGCTTGATTTTCAAAACTGGATTACGAGTTGAAATAGTCTGTTGTAGTTCACTCCGTCGCTGACCAAGCTGAACTGACTGGAGTGTTAAGGTGGATTGATGTTAAAAGCTAGGATAGAACAAAGAAACGCTCATTATTAATGATGATACCACGTGAACCATCATGTGATATCCCGCGTGGACCATAGTGTGATTTTGAACGATTGGTCCATGCTTAGTGCGCGTGTATTTGTAGCTTAAACTTTAAGCAAAATTTAAAAGAAGTCTCAAATCTTGTAACAAAAAAGTAATATTGGATTCCTTTTTGTTAGATTTTGGACTGTTATAGCCTATGCTATTTGTTGGTTAGTAATCCGTTTCGTCAAACAGAGGCGCACCAATGGATAATTGAAACGAAATTTCATTTCCTCTTTTAATGGAAATACCAGTTGCATAACTTCATCCGCGGCCTGTTGGACCAAAGTCGGCTCCAGCTCCAGCTGTGAGATGATCATCTTGGGAAATAAGAGTCATGGCGAGAGTTTATATGGGAATATTTACGACCGCTCTTAGGAATTAAGAAATAGCTCAAATTTTCATTTAAAATATCTCACCTTACTTGCATAATCAGTTTTGCCTCGTGTAGGGATGTGACTCCAAATTGCAGAAACACGGTCACTTTGGAGCTTGGATTTTTCGCTTCTCGGATCGGGCGTTTGGAAATACAGTGTGCAGCCTTGGGCTTCCCTTATGCAGTAAATATAGAAATAGATAACTCGCTAAAATAGGTTCTTTTCAACATAGTAAGCGGTCAGATAACAAGCGAGCAAATGCAATTTGATTACCACACCGTCTCTCAGCATCAATAATAATATTAAACTACGGGTGCCAAGGAACGGTGTGGCCCCCGGCGAGGCACGGTTTGCAAAGAAAGCAGGGTTTTTTTGTTTTGTTTTTGACCTTGACTTTAGCAAAGCATTGACTAATTCAATTCATCATTACAGTTGTCATAGGTCAAAATCCCATACAGGCCTCATTTTCTACTGGTTAAGAAGTGTTCATAACTGGGAGGATCGCCTCCATATTTATTTCTTTATCCACAGATCACATATATGGTTTTCATATATTTACAGTCTGTATTTCGATTTAAAGAAATAATTAAATCTGATTACCACACTGTCACTTAATTAACATCAATACATTGTTTTCCAACCACGGGTGCCAAGTGACGGTTTGGTCCCCGGCGAGGCACAGTTTGCAAAGGAGGCAGGGTTTCTTTATTCGTTTTTGACCTTGACTTAAGAAAAGCATTGACTAATTTGATAGTGCCTTATCGAACTGTATTTTTCATAAAAGAGGAAATGAAATTTGATTACCACACCGTCACTTAGCATCAATAAATTGTTTTAGAACGACGGGTGCCAAGTGACGGTGTGGTCCTTGGCGAGGCACAGTTTGCAAAGAAGGCAGGGTTGCTCCAAAATGACCGTGGTTCTGCAATCTGGAGTCACAGTCCTGCATGTAGAAAAACTGATTATGCCAAACGTATCACATTGTAACCAGTTCTACCATTGACTTTGCGGACAATTGTTTTCATTCAGTGCTGCAAGTACCAGAGTTGCCTAAATCGTCATCACTGCTAAAGAGAAGCTTATTTCGTAGACGTAGCAGTAATATTCGATGCCGTTAGTGGACCTCTTTCTTCGTTATGGCTCTTACTGTAATTAAGCTATTTTAATTATATGCTATTATCAACTGAGTTGATAACGTAAATTTTCACCCAAGAGCCGTTCTAAAGATGACGTTTCGAGCGTTAGTCCTTCGTCACCCAAGTCACGTTGTCAACTCAGTTTTTGAACCAAACCATCTGATTATGTAATATGATTAAGTAAGCTGGTTTTCAAAGGTCGTGTGTCGTGTTGAATGTGTATGCGGGCCGTTAGAAACGTCTAAACTGAAAATTTTTCAAGCAAATTACGGGTTAGCGTCGGTTTTATGAGGAGGATTGAGTTTGTAGTGAATTGAAATGAAACTAAAGTATATGTGCTGGGATTCTACGTTGGATCTGTGGCTGCACGGTCGTTCTGAGCATGGCCTATCGCTCCTGGGATCGGTTGTTCACGGTTCGGAAATGGAATATGCAGCCTTGGGCTCGATCAGTGTATTAAATGCAGACTGTAGGCTGCATACTGCAGACAATGGGATAAATGCAGACTGAAGACTGCAGACCAGGGGTAAAATGCAGACTCGGTTCTTTAGATGAAATTTATGAACATTTCTGGATTCTCTCCAAAAAAATTAAACTTAAAAGGAACTTGAGACTTGTACGTGCTTTTAATTTGTTTCAATTTAAGGAAGACTCAAGACTCCAATTTTTCCAGTGAATAAAAAACACGTCACAGAAAAACTAAATTTCCTAAGCATTCCTCGTCAGCCAATTCAACAAGAAGCCCAACATAGTTTAAGTTGACCTTGATAGCCGCAGATTGACCTCGGGTTAATACTGATGTGAAACGCTGAGCAGAACAAAAAAGGCAAACACCAGGGGATATTGTTTGGAGGTTTTGTACTTAGACCTTTATGATCTCGAACCCACAAGTTTGCATTAAATTTAAAGAATTTGCAAGCCTAACTTCGCAGCGCAAAACAAGGGTACGAGAAACAGGTTTTTATTGTCCAAGTAATCGAGATTGCCGATGTGTGATGAAAGTCTATCGCTGTTTCTTTCAAGGCCGAACAAAGTATAGATGAGCTACATGTATGTTCATGCTACCTAATGTTGCTCAGCAGAACTGTTTATTCCTTAACAAAAGAAATATATTTAGCTGGCCGTGAACTGAATATTCAAACACTTACGTTTCTCGTTCTTACCTCGAAACAATATGTTGATGCCTAAATCACCTGAGGAAGAGAAGTTCGAAACACCAATCGCAATGACAGTTATTGCCAGCCTCCCATGACTTACGCGGCCCGGGGAAGCGGGTTGTTTTAGAACCGAGTCTGCATTTTACCTCTGGTCTGCAGTCTTTGGTCTGTATTTTATCCCCGGTCTGCAGTCTGCAGTCGCTATACTTTGAGAAGAACAAAAGTTTCAAAGGAAAAACGTATACCTTTACCAAGAAATATTGTTTCAAAAGTGGAGAAATCTGAGCTTCATCATTGTTAAACAAAGAGTTGCATAAGATCACATTGCAGTCGTCTAATAAGGCCTCATATCACGGTTTCAAGGATTTGGGAAATTACCAAAATGAATAGAGACTTTTTTGAAAAGCAAAGTGAACAAGGTCAAAGATTTATAAGAAGATTTTTAGTTATAAACTATGGGCTAGCTTGTTTCTACGTCTGCAAATCACCAACAGTCTATAACATCGACTTCTTCATCTGCTACCAGAGTCAGGTGAAGTGTAAAGCTACTTCAAATTATTGAATAACAGCTCAGTCACTGCTAAATTTATTTGCGATACTTTAATTACTTACAACTTAACATGAAAGTTTATGCAGTATTTGACGTAAGTTTGAATTATCATGAGCATAAAATACTTGGTCTTTCCTGATTTCCCTGTATTTCAGGTCATACATGAGCTGTTTCTGGAAATAATTTCGAACACTCTTATCATCTTATTTTAGAGGAATACAGAAGTCCACTTACTGGGTCACCAAAGGAGGACCCCTTCCATTTTCCATTGACATACTGTCGTCAGCGTTCAAACATGGGAACAGATGCTTCACCGAATACCCTGCCTACATGCTCGACTATTTCAAACAAGCTTTTTCCTGCGGGAATGTCAGAGTAGCTTACAGTCCTCGAAAACAGCAACTGATTTACATCTCTGTTTTCGATTCGTGGTGGTAAAGTTCAGAATACATCATAAATTCCATACTTTCCGCAGTCAGTTCTTACCACCATAATGCAAGTTTAAATTGAATGGAAAGAGTTAGATACCCGTGAATACCCAAAATGCAAAAGAGAAAATACTGAGGAAGCCAACAAGAAGCTCCTATTTCTTTTTTTTCTTTTTTTTTTTTTACTTTCAGATCGTTTACGCAAAGAAAGCAGCGGTTAGTAACTGAAAACAAATGTAAACAAGATCGCTAAAAACGAATATAAGACTTCTCAGAATGTAACTAAAGTAGCACTTTTCCTTTGCATATTTATTGAAATCCCCTAGATTAAGGGTTATATGCGAATTCGAAATGTACACTACAATTGGTTAGCGAAAAATGCTACATGGCTATCGAAGTGATTTCTGGCCGGGCACCCCTCTAATACGGACACGAAATTGTGGTATCAAGGGAAAGCAGTGCCACAAGAACAAGCATTGGCTCTATCTTTTCCACTGCATGAGAGCACTTAAAGGTTGTGGACATTTAGTATCGGCAGCAATATTATTTGCTTTTTATCGGGGTCGGGCGAAACAATCCCCCTCCTTCATCAGGGCCGTTCAGCCGACCTCTACAGCACTGACCAAGTAGACTGAATGTTTCAGATGTAAAGAGGGTTTTTCAGCAGTATTCATCTTCTTTGGACTAACCTTACACCTTCTCGTGCTTGCTAAACTAACTTCAATGCTAAAGTTAAAAGAAAACTTCTTAAATGTGTTTTGATCCGAAAACAAGTGCATTTGAATGGCCTTGACCGCAAAACCATTTCTATTTTAAAGAGACAGTCAAAGATTTCATGTCATTTAAAGAAATAGTTGAAAAAACTGAAGAAGATATCTTCGCTAGAAAGAATGATTGCCTTCGATCTTTTGAAAGACTGTTTTGACGCAGTTGTTATCAGTTCTGTTGCTCTATTACACAAATTATCAAAACTACATATCATAAAACTTTGTTGTTGGTTCTGGCGTTATTGGATCTTTAATTTATTAAAGAATAATAAAAGCGATCGGTAATTTCAAGCTAAAATACTCGTAATATGTTGAGTTAACTCGCCTGCTTCTGTAAAGACTGACTGAAGTGTCGTATGCAGACGGCAAAGTTCAATTATCAAAGAGGAACATTTGTGACCCTCCACGCGAAAACAGGGAATAAGACACGAGTACGCGTGCAATGACACGGCACGCTAAGACTGTCACCATTCTCATGGATATGCGTATACTTAATAGGCAAAATAAAGATTGGCAAGGCAGCTTTTGTGTGGCA